CCTGGATAAATGGAGGACTTCTGTCTTTAAGGCAGTTAGTCTGAACCCTTTCACTAGTTAAGCACTGAAGGTTAAATCCTGTTTCATCTTCACAAGCCTAAGCAGCACTTCCATTGCCTCACAATAGTAATTTATGGCATCTTAATCAGTTTGAATTTTGGGAATGTGTACTGTGTATAAATACTGGAAAGGTGCAGGGAGGAGAAACCCTTCCATGTTTTAACTAGAGGGGTTGAACTTGTAACATGCTTCCTAGCAAAAAGCTCTAACCATCACTGTATAGGCTAAACAATGTCCAGAGCATTATTCAGTCTTCCTACTGAAGGTGGCCCATTGCACCTTGCATTTAATATTCATTAAAATAGATAAAACATTAGGATAATTTCTGACCTATCAGAGGCAAGGGCCAGAGATAGAAACAGAACTCCACCCCAAGAGGGCAATTGCCACCCTCCCTCTAGTTGGCTCTTCTCTTCACTGAGCCATCATTCCTCTGGCTTGTTCTTTTCCTCCTGAACCCATATATCTTCCCCTCCAGCTTCTCAGTAGGCCAACTTCAAAAACAGAACTTGATTGTTCTAGAAAGTACCTACCCCATGGGCTAGTTCTGGGAAGTGAGAAATTTAAATTTAAAACCCCTCTGATTGAAAGGGATCTAGAGTCTGGGTCCCCTACACCATGGACAAGTGCCATTACTGCTAGGCTAGTGGGCTAAAAGTAGAACAGCTCTCCCTCCCACTAGTCATAGTTTTTCTGCAACTAATGTTTTGTGATTAATGCACTGTTAAACATGTGCCAATGCATGCATGCAGCCATAGTATATCTTACTGAACATGTTAAGAAAGGAGATGTAAGGCAAGTGTAGGTATGTGAAATGCAATGTGTAAGAGATATAATTGCCATTAGATGGCTACTTACGTGCTACTTATGTGGGTGAAATTGAAATAGGGCTTAGCTCTAAATTTATATTTTTTTAATGCTGTAAAAGTTAAAATGTCTCATTTTAATCTAATTTGTTACATTCATATTATATAAAATACAGATAATGCCTAACTTTATTCATGTGGCTGACCAATTCAGAGGCAATATTTAAAATTGGCATGAATTATGCAATTCTTTGCTCAAAAACTATCAACCAAAGCCACAGGAATAATTTATCTTGATACTAGTACCATTCCATGGACATGCTATATTTGAAAGGTAATGTGAAACCAGTAAAAAACAAAAAAAACAAAAAAACAAAAAAAGCCTTTTCCTCAGTATATATTACCACATCCTCTGCCAAGCAGCATTTTTCACGGTCTGTGGTCAAGAACTCACATAAATGACATGCTCAACTTAGAGTAACTGGAATGTTTATTAATGCTGTGATTTCAGTTTATGAAGTTTTAAATAAAGGGATGTATTTCAAGGGCTCGCCTTCTCTCACACATGCATATTTGCAAATCCTTGGGCTACACCCTGACAGGTTACCTAAAGGCTGCTTCTTTTATCTTGTTTAGCTTATTAGTGCACAGATACTACAGTGAAGAGGCTGCAACAATTTGAAAATAGCAATACACATATTTATGCAAAATCCCTGTGCATTTCTGCTCATATTTGTACCATCCCCAAAAGGTGCATAGAAAACATTGTTTATATTTATTGAGATTAAAAACCTAAAATTGATCCACTTGTTCTATACCCAGCAACTGTAGGGAAAGGATAACTAGGTGTGTCTACATGTTCATTAATGTGCAGTAGTTACTATGCATTTAATTTATTACTTGCTTAATGAAGTACTAAACTAAATGCACAGTAACTACAGTTACTGCACAGTAACGCCAGTGCATGGCTTTTTAGTGACACTTACTGCACAGTAGCCTAATACTACTGTGCAGCACGGCTGTGCAAAGCTTTGGTCCCTAACTCAATTTGGTGGAAATTCAGCCCGATTTGAATCAAATCAGAGGACCCTTCAATCTCTCTGAATCAAATTGGAACCCTCTGAATCAATTGGGAGAGATTCAGAAAGATTCAGAGATTCAGACAGAGACAGCTTTAAATGTTTTTTCTACATACCTCTAGGTAGCAGGGGATCGTGAGTGCTGCGATGCTGGGGCACATGGAATGTCTCACAGAAGCATGGGGATCTCCCAAGTGTGCTCAGCAGCAGACCCAGAAGTGGACCAGAAGCACTTCCAGTCCACTTCTGGGTCTGCTGGGGACCACGCAGGGAGGCCCCCCCTCTATACCTCCAGCTCAGTGACTGGTGCCTCCTGGGTCTGGGGCAGCACCCGGGGTACCTATGGCGGATCGCTGAGCTGGGGGCACAGGGGTCCCCCCCCACATGGTCCCCAGCAATACCAGAAGTGGACCACAAATACTTAGGGTCCACTTCCGGGTTTGCTGGTGAGCATGTGGAGGGCCCCCCAGCACTCCTGTGGGACACTCCATATGCCCCAGTATTGCAGCGTTCACAAGCCACGCCTGTTAACTCAAGGTATGTAGAAAAATTTTTAAAGCTGTGTCTATGTCTGAATCAGCATTGAATCTTCAAATTAGGATTCGGCCAAATCAAATTAGGGACAGTAATCCGAATCAGTGAAATTGAATCACTGTTCCCAATTCAGGCCAAATCTGAATCAAATAGGGCTCGCTTTGCGCACCCCTACTGCGCAGTAGTGTATTAGCACGGTTTTTGCCCAGCACACTACTGTGCAGTGTTATTAGGCTACCACCATTATGCGCACTAAGCTGCTCACGTAGATGTGCCCACTGTGCACAATATTTTGAGATTTGGAAAGGTTGCCTTTCCCTTAGAGTTTGGAATAATCTATTCGTTCTTTAGTGAACTTCATTGTACTAATCCAAGCTGATACAGTTAGCTTAGTAATATTAATATTCAGTGTCCTCGTAGCACATCTGACTTTTTATGTACAAACTACTTTTTTCCAAAAGCATTCCAGTGCATGATTTTCAATAATAAAATCCCATCTTTGTGTGAATGATTCCACATTGTGTTACCAAAATAAAAAAAGTCAGGTAAGTCAATCATACATTTCATTATCTGAAACTTTGGGCATGTCTATACATGCATTAAAGTGCCAAACTTAGAACTAATTAAGTTTAGTACTTATAATATGAGGTACTAACTTAATGCACTGTAACTGGCACTACTGCACAGTAGCACAGGCACACTTCTTTTACATGATGCTAATTCTACTGCGCATTAGCACGACCTTTGCTGTGACATATTAATGCACAGTAGAATTAATCTATTGCGCTTCTAGCATCTTGGGTAGATGTGCCCTCTGTGACATTCAACAACATAAAACTTCCTGTCTTATCAGTATTTATTATTTACTGCATGTATATAATAGGTTTTGATTGTGCAAATAGCATATTATGGGCATGTCTACACAAGATGCTAGAAGTGCATTAAACTAACCCTACTGCATATTAGCACATCATGGTGAAAGCACCTGTGCTACTGCACAGTAGCACCAATTACAGTGCATGAAGTTAGTACCTGTTAAAACAGGTACTAAAAACTTACTGCACTGTAATTACTTAATGCACCCTAATAACTGCAAGTCCCATAGTGAATTACTGACTTTTATACATTACTAGCAAATTGCCCATCAAGAATGACAGGGGGATGGTGGGGATGAAGCGCCACGCACCACCACCTCCCAGGAGCTGGGGGAGGGTGAGGGAGAAGCTTCCACACAGTGGCTGCCGCCACCAACTACCAGCCTGTGCTGCCACTGCTAAATAATAAATTAAATCTATATGACACCATTTATTAAATGCAAATAGTATTTATCTGAGAATGAACCTTATTGTATATGTTGCATGAATGTATATAAGTGCACTGTGTACAATCTGTGCATGGAATTGGTTAATGGAAAATTTCAGTAGTTCTTCTGTTTTGCATATCACCTGAAGAATATCTGGTAAAGTGTTGAAACATCAAAACTCATATTTCTAGTTTTATACAGGATGCAGGCAAAATGGGCCTCTGATCTATATGGAAGCTTCAAATAACTAAATACAAGAAGGAAATCTTGAACTATCAGTTTTCATTATATGATCCTCAATTTACCTCCTGCTTCTTCATTAGGTTGACTATGCTCCTTCATGTCTTCCCCTTTATCCATATTTTCCACATCCCGGGATTTGTTTGAATTACAGTCTGTCAATACTTCCTGTCCTTCTGAAGAAAGGAAATGTTAAATAACAGCAATTAATGACTGATTCTTTAAGAGCATTTTTCATGTGATTATCTCAATACACTTTGCAAACTTTAAACAATTATCAAAATGTTTAATATTAGTACCCTTATTAGTGATGGGTGGCATTGCAACATAGCTGAAATGATTTGCTTTTAGTCACACACTGAGGCAATGGCAGATCGGGGAATAAGTCCCTCAGAAAAATAACACTTTGCTAAAACGACAACCAAACACCTATGCCATAAATATACACCCATAAGTATACACCTATAATTCTTTTGTTCAGATTTAATTTATTTAGGTGACCCAATGCTCCTGCTCAGACTTAAATCCGGAGGCTCCTGGCTAGGGAGTGCTGCCCCTATGCTCAGGGTTAGACTGACTACCATATTTGGGATTAGGAAGGAATTTTACCCCATGCTTAGGTTGGTGGAAACTGTTGGGGAAGTGTGGGGGTTGCCTTTCACTGTAGTGAAGGAAGTGGCTCTCTTCCTTGGATCTCTCAAGTATATTTTAAACAGCCTTTATAGCAGCAGGACATTGGACACTGTTGTCCCCCTGCCTTACCTGTGACAGGTTAGGGTGTTATGCCTCATGTCAGGGTTGGCTGTGTAGTTTTACTAATAGATTCGACAATGGATTATAGGATGGTTTGGATAAGGATGATCCTGCCTCCAGCAGGGGTTTGGACTAAATGACCTCTTAAGGTTCCTTCCAGCCCTACTTTTCTATGATCTTATGAATTATTCTGGTGCTTTTTTTGAGTCAGGATGAAAGCGGTATGAATGTGTACTTGATATATTGTAATTATATAGAAATATGGCAAGGCCTTCATAATGCACCCTATTGACTGGGAGTCCTATAGTGAATTACTGAATTTTATGAATTAGAAAGTAAACAAGCAAGAACTTTGAAGAGAGCATAAAAAAAATCATTACAAAATGCAGCAGGTCCATCTGGGATGCCCTTTTCCAAGATGCAGAGCTTTCTTGTCCAAATGCAGAAAAGAAGTTAAGCACATGCCTACATTGAACAATGTGAGTAGCCTCACTGAAGTCAGTGGAACTTGTGCATCTAAGGCAATTAGATGCCTTTGAAAAAAAAAAATCAAACTCTTAAACATCAACACTATTAGCTACTTCACTGTTTATAATTATGGCAAGAAGGCCAGTGTATCGGTTTCAGATTAATATATGTAAGGGAGGAATAGAGTACCTGTAGCCATTTGCTGTTCCTGAGAATTACTTAGGTCCATACCTGACTGTGTATCTGAAAAAGACATAAAATGCATTGTTAGTTTTTTACATTTTTTTAAATCATCCACATTTTATAAAAATTGTAATTTTATAGCACATTGGCACTAAGCTGAACAGCAAAACTAAAAGATCAAAACTCCAAAAGAGTCACCAAAATTATTTTTATCAAGTGGAATTTCTAAAATTATACAAATTCCTTTTCTGTAGTTTGACCATTGTTACCTGTCCAAACCAGCTGCATTCCTCTTTCTGTAGTCTGAGTATTCAAGAGTCAATTAGCCAAAGTTTTAACTGAAAACATCATCTTGTGCTTTGTGAACTCAGCTTAATGAAAGTAGTTGTGTGTGGTAGGGTTTTCTAAAAGTCAGAGTGCTAAATACTTGTGAATTTCTTTAATAACAAGGAAAAATCCAATATTGATTTTGCTACATCATTTGGGTTTTAAGGGACTGCATTTACATGTGTACTTAACTGCAGAGTAGACTAATTAGTTGCAGAGTTAAGTGTCACCATCTACATGCCTGATGCTATTAGGCTGCAGTAAACTGATTAACACTGTCATAAGATAGTACTGTTAGGGACAGTACTATCTTATGGTGGGGTAAGTAACTGTGATCAAATGCACATGTGGATGCTGACCACAGCCATAGATTGTGTCCAGTCAACCGCGAACCAAACTCCTGCATCCCTGCCTACCCACATGGCTCTGCACTTTCATCACCCTCATGTCCCAACCAGCCCCTCTGCCACCCAGTACCACCAGCCAGAACCTGGGGCTGACCCCCCGTTCCCCCTGACATCCTAGGTCTGGTCTGCCCTGGATCAAATTGCTGCTGTCCCAGGTATACATGCAAATGCTGTGCTGAAGAGTAGTTTACTTCAGCTCAAGCTGTTCTGGAGTTTATTGCTTTGTATTAATTGAATATGTAGATGCACTCAGAGGGGAACTGATGCACATGAATTAACTCTGGAGCTTATTCCTCCAGAGTTTATTGCTCCCAGGCACACCATATGAATGTGCACCTAGGAGTGCAGCACACCGAGCTGGGTTGGAGCAGCCCCAGCTGACAGAGGTCCCAGAGGGCCCAGCCTGCCAACCTGGGACTGTTCTCCCCAGCTCAATGTGCTCCAGAGGAGCTGGCTGGGGCATGAGTATGCTTCAGTGCAAGGCTAGCCAGCAGGCACCCCCTGCACTGAAGCACCCTCATGCCCCAGCCAGCCAAGCAGCACCTAAACGTGTGCTGCTGCAGAGTTAAAAATTCCACAGCAGGACAGTACTTGTAAATAGTATAAATACAAGTACTATCCTGCTTCAGAGTTATTTAATTTACTCCAGCCTAATAGGGAACCAGCCACTTCGTCTGCTCTTCAGTAAACATCTCATGTTTACACCCTGGGCATGTTCCACCAAGATGCCCAAGGTAGAACAAACTAATCCTTATATCTGAATTCTGAAAGAGAGATGAGTAAAAAATAAAAACAAAATTCAGCTTCCTATTTAAGAACCTATACATGTAGCCAGATTTCCAAAACCACCGAACACACATTGAAGTCAATGAGTGCTACTTGCAAGCCCTAATTATCTGCCTAAATGTGGAGCCTAACCGTAGGCATTGACTTCACATTAATCTATCCAGGCTAGGATTTTCAATCAATATAATATAATATAATATAATATAATATAATATAATATAATATAATATAATAGTTGTCAAATGCCTGTGCTGTCATGACAACCCACAATATTTTGTTGATATTATATTGATCTTTTCTTTTTTGTATATTCTTTTAGGTCTTTATCTTCTACTTTGCATAACAGAACATTTTATGTTGTCTTCATACATAATAAAACAACAGCTCTAGAGCTCATAAAACTTATTCCTAACAGTTACATAACAAAAATAGACATATAGTGGCAGTGAGGTGTTAACCACTACTGACATTTACCCCCTAATTATCTATCTTTACTAATGTCATTTATGGAACATTTTTGTGGTCTCTGCAACACCAGGATATAAAACTTGGGTAACTAAAAAGAAAAAAAAAAGTGCCTAGTGACTACATGAAGTTATCCTAAAAAATCTATGTGATTGTGTCCCTGGCTGATATAGCCAACAAGATAAAAGAAAAAAAAGCCTCTTAAAGGCAAAGAGGCACACAAAACTTGCCTCTTAAAGACATTAAAAACTTTGGACTTTTTTCTCTCCTAAATGCACATTAACCTCTCATTGCTCAAATATTGGTATAAGTAATCTTGTATGTTTTTAGTTTCTTTAATCAACTAACTGGCAGTAATTAGCAAAAAAATGGAGGAGGATTAACAAAAGCAGCCAGTGGGCACATCTATATGAGGCACTAAATATGCAATAGACTAATTGTACTGTACATTAGACCATCACGGCAAAAGCCTTGCTATTGGGCTAATGTGCAGTAGAATTTGTCTACTATGCATTAGCATCACTAAAAAGGTGCGCACTGGTGCTACTGCGTAGTAGCATCAGTTATTGCTCATTCAGTTAGTACAAGTACTAAACTTCACGTGCAGTAACTATGGCGCACTGATGCATGTGTAGATATCCCTAGTGTCAGCCAATCTCTTCTCCCATTTAAGTTAATGGGAATTATGCCACTAAATTCTATAGCAGTTAAGCCACATGGTCTGCTTACGAGAATTTAATCCTAGAATTAAAAAACAGAATTTTCCTCTTCTCTCAGAAAGATGGCACTTCCATAACCTGTGTTAACAAAAGATTTTAAAATGCTTTACAAACATTAAATCTTTCAACTCCTTGTAAAGTGGCTAATTGTCATTATGCACAGTTTACAGGTGGGAGAAATTTAGATATAGAAAAAAGTTAAGTGATCTGTCCAAGGCCATACAAAAACTCAGTCTAAAAGTCAAACAGCCCAAGGAGTACTGATCCTTAATCCTGACCATAACTATTCTTCCCCTCTTTTTTCACCCTTCTTAAGGTTTCTTGAATTCCCTATATAAGTACTAAAGTGGACACAGCCATGAAAACAAAGATGTCATAATAAAATTCTTAAACACAAAAAGTAATCTCCATCTCAATAAAGTCCCTTCTTTTATCTCCTATGAACAGTCACATCTCGGTAATCTAATATTCTAAAAGCCTGATCATGTGTATATGTAGTGCGACAGTACTCTGAAAAAATGCTGCGCACTGCAGAAAAAGGTCTTCCAAATGTCTGAGGCTGCAATCTAGGAAAGAACTTAAGCATGCCCTTAAGAACTTTTCTACATGAGAAAAATTATCTGAAATGGGCCTGAATGAAAAGAAAAGCATTTTTTTTTTTACTGGAAGAGGATTTGAATTAATTTTTTTTTAGAAAATAATGTTTTATTCTAAAACGTCTGAATTAAAATCTTATACTTTAGAACTAAACATAAAAGAGTTGTCCTGAAGTACTTCACTGTATGAGAGTTGGAACAGTGACAGGCAAGGAACTATGTGAGATGAAAAGATTTTAGTGAAACCCTTTTATTGAACCAGGTTTTCAATCTGTGATCTGTGGCCCCTGGGGGTCCACAGACTATATCTAAGGGGTCCATGCAAGTTTACCATCATCAGTCGAAAGTATGTGAATTCCCACAATTAGAATCCAAAGGGGTCCTCACTGCCCTTTGAAATTTCCAAAGGGGTCCACACTTCTATTCAAAACTCTTTAGGGGTCTGCAAATGAAAAAGAAAAGGTTGAAAACCACTGGTTTACAGAGACGTTAGATAAGGTTTCAGGCACAAAGTGCCCTTCTTCAGATCCCTGAGAAAAGAATGTCCCTGAAGAAGGGCACCTTGTCCAAAAGCTTGCCCACCATCTCTCCTAACTATACAGTTAGTTCAATAAAGACATCATGAAAAATAAAGCACTTCACTTAATTGTATGAGACAGTATTTGCATTGGTTTTCTGCCATCTTAAGTACTTACACATGATGTCCTGTTGACATCAAAGACTTTCAAGGAAGACATCTTCCAAAGAACAACCATTAGGGAAAAGTTCATGGAAAGTGGTAGGTGCTGAAGGCAAATAACCACTTGCTATGCTGATCATCAGTTATTTAAACAGGCTAAATAGTTTACTTCCATAAAACTTAAATAGTTGCCAATAAGAGAATAACATAAAGGGAAACTTTATGCAAATTGCTTGTTCGTGCACAGAATTTTTACAAAATAACTTTCTCCAAACATATTGCCCTGAGTTTCTACTCCTTGGCTTTAATTTGATTCTAATTCTTTCATAGCTGCAGAGATTAATAACATGTTGGCTTAAATAAAATGAAATGGTATTCTTAGTTCTTGATGGGCCTCAAAAGGAATGAGGCGAGTTGTTAATTATTATGTTTGTAGAGCACCTACCACACTGAAGCCCAAACTATTTGAGACCATTAGTACGATAGCAATATAAATATTTAATAAAACTTTTTATTAATACTGAAAAAAATCCCCCAGATTTACAGTGTAGGTCACAGAAATATGAAATGTCATGTTTTCTACACTGCAAAACAATCATCTCTAATTCTCATTTTCACAAGTATGAACAGTACAGATTATCGGCTTTGCATGTCTTCTGCACTTTTTTATTACAGACCCTTAAAAAAAGAAATACACAATTTTGACCAAAAGTGGGTGAATGCATCAGCAGACAAAGGTAATCAATCTATTATCTAAAACAGGCTGCTCTTAATGCAAACTATGTAACATATTTTTCCAATAACTTTTTTGGAGTAACTTGTGATCCTAAATTTCTCTTGCAATGTTGTCAAAAAGGAATCATTGGGCAGGATTACATGTATGTATCATTAAACTCTATCAAATCCAAAAGAAAAATCCAGCCTTCATAAACATCATGTGAATTTATGATTCTTTATGGGAGAAATTCCACTGACCTGTAGGTCTTTCTGTGATTTTCTTTACCGTTTTCAGAAGCTGGAAATAATGCAAATTCTCCAAATAGTCTCACTTAGCAATGAGTATACCTAATTACTCTATATG